TCAGTTAAGACTGAACAATGACAACTACTTTTACTCCTGTCGCATTATGGATTCAGAAACAGCATTAACCCTTCCATGAAGTCTGACTAGCATAGCCTTGGACCAGAGAGTTTGGGGACAGAAAAATCCAACACTGATAGGAGAAGATAATTCAGACAAAGTCATGCATCCTCAGCTAGGGAATACAACAATCTGCCTTTCCCCCAAAAGGGACCTACTACCAAGAATTTCACTCTCGAGAAAGAGGAGTTTTTAACAGGCTCCAGAGCCTTATAAAAGTGCTCAGGAGTCAACACAAGAGTCGTCCTGCTTTATATGTCAGTGGATCATAACGAGAGTGTAGGGTTTCTCCTGGTTTGGAAACAATTCAGGGAGGATTAAAAGCAAAAAAGCTTGAACAAAGTAAAACTTACTTAAGTATTATAGTTTAAAATGCCATGAAAAAGAGAGGAAGGTGATATACATCCTAACCAGCCTTTCTTTTGTGACTGCTGGATGTAAAGTACCATCTGGTCACAAAGGCACTCACATCCACTCCTGCTCCATAAAACCCAGGCTGATGTGACTGCTAGTGTGAAGTCACAGAAAACATTTTAACTCGCGCTTCTTAACTTATCTGGTCTTCACCTGCCTTTGCCTCTAGTAGTTTTAAGGAGGAAAATAGGGCTTGTGTGCATTAGGGGGGCAGAGCTGAACACAACTGATTTCCATGGCAACGAGATACAGCCCCAGTGAAGAAGGCCTGTGAAAAGCTGTATGGCAATGTGCTCAGCAGAACAGATTTCTCTATCAGACAGCCGGAGATAGCAGCCCGTGTTCATACACAAATGTCTAAGGAATCTGATACTTGGCCTTGTACAACCCCACTGAATTCAGCCCCTGCTACGCCACTGTAGACCACAGCAAGATAGAGACTGTGTTAGTAGGAAAAATAAACAGACAATGTGGAGAGACGCTCTGCCTTTGAAGACAAAGTAAAAGTGCTCCTCATTAGCTGAACATTTATTGCCAAACCATAGGAAAACCCCAGCATTACTATGAAAGCAAAAGCCACTGTGCAATGCACAGATTTGTGCATACTCTACCATCACCTACTACCCATGCTTCTACCTTTGACAAGTGCACATTCATGCACAAGCCAACCTCTTACAAACAACCTGCTATTTGGAACTGGAGGGAGCTGTAATTGTTCCAAATTTTCTACTGAGGGAGTCAATCATTTGGCCTTTGTAATATAGGCTCCTTCCTACTAAAATACAGTTACCAACATTTTCCAACAGGATGATATTTTATTCATTTGTTAGTATGCTCCAAACTCTGCTCATAGCAGACTGCTAAATCTTCTAGCTGCACTTATGATGGGATTTGCCTTGCCATGTAAGGATACAGTCTCCAAACACACTGATTTCAACAGGACAAGTCTCCGTTTATAAAGCAGAAAGCACACAGGAGGCTTTGCAAGACCAGAGCCCCAGTGGAGAAGAGCTGAGGCCATTAGCAAACTTTTTCAAGTCAAGCAGAAAAACACCAACTGTCCCACTCACAGTGTATGCTTTGCTGGAAATGCACAAAAAGCCATTTATATCAAACATAAGAAAAATATGTCATGTACAGTTTATAAAAATATCTGTAACAAACTAAGAACAAAGCCAGAAACTCTCCAAGTAGGCTTAACCAGGCAGGGGGGAGAAGAGAGTAATTTCACAGGCTATATTGTATAGCAAAACAGTGACAGCTTCAGCCTGATGAGGTTTTCTTTAAGTCCTACAACTTTTCTTGCCACTGCAATAGGCAGAACTCAAAACAACGGAGAACTAAGACTCAAAGTAGGCACAGAGTGAGTCTTTATTTTGTATTATGTATTCGGACCGTAAAACAACCAAACATCTGATTTTAATAAACAATCCTTGGTAACACACGGGTATCAGGGCTGACTCTGTGACAGGCTCATCCTTGCTCAGAGTCCTGCACATCAGAAGGATGACAACTGCCTCACAGCTTCAATGTTTTACGTGTGGTAAGCTTAAAGCACGAGTCCCAAGGCTGCCTGCTTCACTTGAAGAGTGGCGCCTTGTACCGCTCTTGTTTATAGAGATATGGTAATTAAAAATTGCACTGTAATGCATTTAATAATAGTCTTATTGTTCCCATGGAATGAACTGCTTCAGTTAAACATGATATCACACCTAAATAACAACCTGCATTTACACTTTTTTTTTTTTGGTACTTTTTATCCTGCCTGTACAGGAACTCCGGGCTTTTTCACCATAGAGATTTCCAGCACATCTCAGAACAAAACACTTTCCTGCTAAACTGAAAGCTTACCCCACATTCCCATGGAGCATGCTCTCCTAAGATGCCTAAGCTCTGCACTAACACTGAACCTGGAGTGACACACAAGGATAACCTCTGCCTTACAAAAACAGCCAGACTTTCTGCACAATTCTCAGTAAAACAGCAGCAGGCTTGGATACCATTCCACAGGTGTGCTTAGCACAGGGCTGTTTACATTAAATACAACTGAAAGGCACTAGCAGGGCTGGCTGACTGTGCTGGAGCAGCTGTCATGGGAACCCAGTAAGACACACTTCTAGTATATTTAGAGCTTTAACGTGGAGCAGAAATGAGGGAACACCACAGCAATGAAAAAAAAAGCAAGATTACAGGCTAGCCGCCACACTGCACACCATCCCACCCAGCAGCAGATAACCTAGGAGTTCTGGAAGTCCTGTCATGCTTCCAGCATCAGGCAGGCCTATGGAAGTTAGACTACCCCACTTCCCTTGCCCTTCAGTGCTGAGCACACATCCAAATCACTCAGGGCTTGCCTACCTGCTTCAGGAGGAACTTATCCTCTGCGTTGATCTTGAGGGAGACGGCCAGGTGGATGGCGGAGAGCACCACCCCGCTGATGACCGCAGCTCTCATCCGCACCGGCAGCAGCGTGTAGATGCTGTAGATAAAGAAGACGGTCCACCAGATGCCCTCTGAGGCACTCCTGGGCCACACCAGCAGAACCCCTACCACTTGCACTGCCAGGATCACCAGGATGACGGAGTAGCACGCCAACCACATGTGGTCTTGGTGGAAGTTGTTGCGGTTGCACACCATGCACAGCACCACCATCAGCACGATGGCCAGGGAGAGCACCACGACATAGGATACCTCATAGTGGCCGTGCGCGGCATGGAAGATCAGCATGACCACACAGACCAGCACCAGCACGGCCATAAGCATGGTGAGGCTGCTCTGGTTTAGCCGAAAGAAGTAGCGCTGATAGAGACGTTCCAGTTTCTCAGACTGGAACTTCTTGGACCTGAAGATTTGCAGCAGGCTACTGCAACAACTGCCCATGGAGAAGGCCGCCTCGGAGTCCCCCTCGTCCCCGTCCTCTTCCTCCAGCTCCTCAATCTTGGCCTTGATGCGTTTCTCGTCCAGCCCCAACTCCACAGAGCGGGGCCGTACCTCCCCCTGCTCCCCCAGCTGCCGGGGGCTGGCATTGTTGGGGGCAGCGGGGGAATCACTGCCGGGCGGGTGGCGGGACCGGTGACGTCGGCTGTCGTCACCGTGCTCCTGCCAGGCGGATTTGGACCTAAAGCTCATCATCCTGCAGCCGCTCTCCCCGCGGTTCCGGGGCTCGTAGTCTTCCTCGCTCCTCCACCTGCTCGACATGCGGGAGGCCTTCTTGCCCGAGGACCTGTTGGGAGGCGGCGGGTAGGAGTAGCCATTGGCCCGGGCCTCCGCCTCGCCCCAGGCCGAGCGGTGCTGCTCGGTGCCTGCCCAGGGCGCGGGAGCGCCGAAGCCCGGGGGGCTGACGCTGTTGGACCGGGACATGCCCTGAGGAGCGGGGCCGCGGGCGAGGGGATGGCGGCCGGGCAAGCGCAGGGGACGAGCCGCCGGGAGAAAACCCCAAAAAGCAGCGGAGGAAAAAAAAAAATGAGGGGGGGGGGGGGGGAAAAAAAAAAAAAAAAAAAGAGAGAGAAAGAAAAACGGCAAAACCCGCAAACGTCCCCAAAGTCTCCGGAACGGCCGGGCGCCCCAGAGCCGGGGTGTCCCCGGCGGGACGCTCAGGGCAGTGCCATCGCCGGTCCCGGCACTTCGACACGGCCGAGCGCGCTCGGCACCGCGGGGACCGGGACGCCCCTGGCTCACGGCCGCTCGCCCTCAGCCGCGCCGCGGCGGCCGCAGGGGCTCGGGGCGCCGCGGGGGAGCCGCATCGCAGCGCGCTCGCACCGCTCCGGCCCGGCCCCCGCCGCTCGGGGCCGGGCGCAGGGCGGGCGCTTCGCCGCGGGCCGGTCGGCGCGGAGCGGGCGGAGGCTCAGGCTCGCAGGGATGCGGCAGCCGGCGGCGGCGGGAGCATCCCCTGCCCGAGGGGCGCGGCGGGGGGCCTGCCCGGGGCGGACCGGGCTGCGGCGGCGCTCCCGGCTCGCCTCGCCTCCCAGCGGCGGAGCCCCGGCGGTAAGGCACGGCCGGCGGCGGCCGCGCCGCTCATGCACCCGGCCACCGCTCCCGCTACGCCGCGCTGCCTTCGGGCACCGGGGGAGAGCGGAGAAACCGGCAAATCTGAAAAATCGGAAGGGGAAAGAAAAAAAATTCAAAAAAACCCGAGAAGGAGCAGGGGCGGGCGCTCGGCGCTGGCTCCCCCACGCTGCCGGCGGGGCGGCGGTGCCGGAGCGGGGCTGCGGCGGGAGCGGCGGCCCCGCGCGCGGCTCTCCCGGGGACGGCGGCGGCGCGTCCCGGCCGCGCTTTGTGCTCCCCATTCAGCCGCGCGCCGGCCGCGCCGCCCCCGCCCGCCCCCGCCGGCGCGGCCCCGCCGCCGCGCGCCGCCATTGGCCGCCCGCCGCCGCCGCCGCCGCCGCCCCGCCAATGCGCGCGCCCGGGGCGGGGCGCGTGACCCCTTCGGCGCCGCGGCCCGGAGCTCCCCGCGCTGCCCCGGGCCCGGCCCGGCCCGGCTCGGCTCGGCTCGGCTCGGCTCGGCTCGGCTCGGCCCGGCTCGGCTCGGCTCGGCTCAGGCGGCGGCAGCATCAAGCACCTGTGTCCGAACTGGCGGAGAGAGGAAAATCGAGCCCCAACAGCGGCACCTGTTACTGGACTCAGCGCAGAAATTAAGGGTAAAATACACACACAGGTAGGATTACCTTGTTTTTTCAACCACTTAAGCTACAGCCCTCACCTTCACAGCGCTGACACCGTTTTATGGCACATTCCCTAACCTGGGAGCGAGGCATGATGACACCACAGCAGTTCCCAGCAAGTTTCAATCTCCAGACTCTTCCACAGAGTTCTTTCAGGTGAAACACTCTTTTCGCAGATGCTAGTAAGCCAATTAATTATTTACAGTGTTTTGAAGGTAAGCATCATATGCACTAAGAATAATATTATTGCTTGATGTTCTGCATCATGTTTTATTAAAAACAAACTGTCAAATCAGATAACTGCTTGGCTTAAGTTGCTGAAACAGGCAATTGTCTAGATGTTTGATCAAACATTGAAAATCCCTGCTCACAAGTAGTCTTTAGCAGTAGTAGTGCTGAAGCTGTGGTTATCAAGGGACAGAGATAAGCAATGTTTGTAGAGAGGTAATATTGCTGGACACAGTTGGGGAAAAAAATCCAAACCGGATAACCTTCCAAACAGAAACCCTTTACGTGTCCTTTACACGTGCAAGGAACTCCACAAACTACAGCAATTTAGGCCTTCGTGTATTTCAGTGGTTTGTAAAACTGTATGCTGAATTTTCAGTAGCTTCTTCTGCAGAACTCACAGTTAAAGATTTTCCCAAAAATGATACACACAACTATTACAGTGGGGCTCACTTACACGGCACTTTCCTGACAGATGCTACATCCTGCACCTGATCACAACTGGACTTACAGTTTTCTTCCCACAAGGAGACATTTTTATATATAAATACCACTGCCCTTCAGATAGAATTTATCATTTCTTGTGATATTATACAACACTGTCACTATCCATACACTACTTTTGTTCTACTTGATTAGAACAACACTCAAGAATTGTGTGGTTGGTTACTCTGGCTGAACAGTGCCCGAACCCAAGGGATAAAGACAGTGAAACAATTCTTCAGTGAGCTGTAAACTGGGACAGGTCTTTTTGTTTTGTACACAAAGTCCCATTTTGGAGTTCTTCTCTGAAAGCCAGCAGTAAAAGATCTCACTTTTTCACACTAAAAGGTAGTAAAAGGAAAAAGGTGACACACAAAATTGGTGACCATAAAATTAATTCTGCTTCATAAAAAATTACTATGAAGGCATGTATAAGAACTAAGCACATTCAACATCCACATCTTGTTACATTTCCTTTTAGATATCAACAAAGCATTCGTCAGATAACAGACCAAGTAATTTTAACGTTTTTATGTTTCACCACTAGGATAAAATGAAGTCTTACTTACCTTTTGCATTATGAAAGCCTCTGGAAGCCTGAATCCTAGGCAGGACTCCAGTCACAGTAAAGTACACCCCCTTCTCTAGGAAGTTTATATACAGAGGTACCAGGGAAATGGTAGTTTCAATTCCATAGTCTCATTCATGTTTCTTTTCACTATGCCATTTTGTATCACATACAGTTTTGCTTTTCTGTAATGTCATAAGAATTGATGCTTAATCAGTTTTAGTTTAAAAAAATAATCAGCCAGACAGGAAAAAAGTTTTGTCCTTGCTACAGGGGAAAACAAATCTTCAACCAGAAGTTTGTAAGTTTAGAAACAGGTAGATAAATATGAAGTGTTGTGTCTAAAGAGGGGTAAAGAAGCATTTGGAAGAGACTGTGCAGAAAATCTGTAACTTGTGAAAACAACAAGGATGTTAAGAAGCTAAAAAGTGTCTCAGAAGTTAAGAGTAGCACCAACTAAACGGGTACCTCACACAATGAGGACATACAGGGCTATGGCAAAGACGATGTAAGAGTCCACATGGACAGTAAAAATCTTCAATGCCCACTTCTAGCTGATGTTGTTACTGGATGACATAGAACAGTAGCAGAACCAAGGCAACAAGCAGGATAGTTTAATGTTAAGGATAGAGACCATAATACAGACAGCTTGCCTACAGCTTCCCTTCTAACATGCAGTTTCTTCAAGCCCTGGCTTTCGCTTCTAATTCAGGAACCTCATGACAAATGGCAGAAAGATACAATGTTTATCTCACCCAAAAAGTTATGCAGGAAAGCAAAACACTGCATATCCTGGGTGGCTGTGAAGTCTTTTAAAAATGCTTAGCACTTAGTACAAAAACATTCAGGCAATCATACTTTCTTAATTAATTATACATAAATAGGAGTTGCCTTTTTCTTTCACAACTTAGGCCAGCCATTTTCTGAAGGATGAGTGTAAAACTGAGGAGCTTCTATATCTCAATCCCAACATGGCTATGTACAAATTATGACCTTAATCTATAGAAGTCCATATAAAATGAGAATATTTATTTACTTTGTTCAGAGACCAACAAATACAAATATCCCAATACTGTGTAGAAAGACAGAGAAAACTTCCTATTCCTTATCCTGAAAAGCTAATGTTGCACCTTCCAGTCTAGCCTAGCCTTCACCTGCCGCATCATAAAAACTTTTTAAATTCTTTGTGGGTGGGGTATTTGGGCAAAAATGAATTCAATACCTTCAATCATATCTTAATAAAATTTTGGATTAAAATTGAACCATGTCTCTTTTTGAAAAAAGTATTTATCTGGTTAAAATAATACCTAAAAGGAAGTAAACATGTGGAAGATTTAGAGACTGCTTGCACAAAATCACTCAAATCATTTCACCTCCTCAAGAACCTTCAGGAAGCCATAAGGGAGTCAACAGAGAGCTACTGTGGCAGACCTAAACTTCCCCAATATACAAGTTCACAAAAATGCTGGTTTCACATGTAGTCTCATAATTTGTATAAAAACATTTTTTACTTTATTATTATTACAACAGGTGCAGTAGACAAACATTAGCATTCTTTATTTCCATTATTTACTTTAAATGGGGAATACCAACTAGATAGTGACCTCAGAACATCTGTGTCACAGTTCACTCTTCATAGTCTTCATGCACTCCAAGATTCATGGAAGCATAAAATCCAGAACATTAGAATATCCAAAGCAGCCCTCTGAAACCAAGAGATAATCACACAGTCCTGCTTGGAGCCATGAAATACTCAAACTGAACAAGCTGCTGTTACAAATTCTCTTGCTCCACACCACCCCTCTCCTAATAATCAGATGATTCAAAAGGAATAGAACCAAAAGCGAGAAAATAGTGAAAACACAAAACCACAGTGACTTAAAAAATAAACAAAAAGCCCAACCCAAAACAATCTGACTCATTATTGACTTTTGGGGTTTTTTAGGGATACACAAGAAGCCTAGCAAGACAAGGTGCTTATTGAATCACTTTTATCAGATTTTCACAGAAGCACCCATATTTTACCCCAAATGTAGAAATAAAATATCCTGCATGCACATGCTGTTAGTCCAAGCAAAGCTTGGACTCCGAAGTGCACATGTGCAATACAGGAGGATTGCATCATGAAATTTACCATAATGTATGCAATTCATGTGGTCATTCCAGGGATTTGACATAATGCTGACATTAAGAAAAAAAAAAAAAGTTTTAGACACAGAACGTGAACAGAGCAGCTCATTTGTTAACTGTAGCAGAGATTTATCTGCCCACCTTTGGGTAGCAGCAAAGCAGTGAACAGGACTCAAATACCTGTACTGAGTGGATTGCTGGAGGCTGCACAACACTCAGATCACAACAGTAGGAGTTTTACATCTTTCTGTAGGAGTTTCACACCTTTCTGTCAGCAGTTTGTTTCTTCAAGGTCTGGTATGCTGAGGCCTCATCTGCAGTTATGCATCAGCAGGAACCTGGAGCACAGCAGCCCATGAATGCTGACACCTGTCCCTTGTCTGAACACAACTGTAAGCCTAGAGCAGGTTTCCACACAGTCTGATTTGACAATACCTTTTGAAGAGTAACAGAATTTTCAGATTGCAGTTTGCTTCTGCTAAAGGGCTGTAACAGTATCATCTAACTTAGTAACTAGTTATTAAGTAAAGTATCCAGTCTTACTACCTAAACCAGCAATGGCTGATTTCAATTTCACATCCATTTTCTTGCTGATTTAAGACAGCTTTTTCCACTGTCCCAGTTTGCTGACAAAGTGCTTGGTTTACTTAATTTAAATTGCACCAAAAAGCTGGGTAAGGAAACTCATTTGATACTCTCAAACCAGCAACTTTCCCAGCAGAGGTTTATACACAGGAATGGAGGACTAAAACAAAACACCTAATTCAGTGCATCCAGTTCCTTATAGTCTTGTAATAAACACCTGGAGGAAAATAAAACAAACTTCATGTCATCAGCACACTAGACTAAACATTGCAGCATCTCCATTAAGTGCTGCTGTTCTGTCTTAATAAACAAACAAAAAATTCCTCCCAAAACCAAACACCACCACCCTCACCCCAAAGAACAACTACTGGATTCCAAAGGGAACAGGAAGAAAGTTTCATGTTTCATAAATGCCCAAATATTCTTTGGGAAATACAGTGGTAGAGCTCAGTAACCTCCAGTACCTCTCCTCTTCCATCTCATCATTTTATTGATGGTCATTAAGGTAGAAACCAGTACTCATTATCTTTTCTTTTCCAGTAAGTGAAGAGGATGTATTTACCCAAAGAAAGCTTTAAATGGCAAACTGATTTCATAAAAGCTATCTATTGCCAGGCTGATTGGAGGCTTCTCTACTTAATATTTACTCTTCACAACTCTTGGTTTTTGTGGGCATGCTATGTGCAGAAAAAAGCAAAGCACTGATCTTTACATTGCCATCAACTTAAAACTGATGTTAAAGAAGATACCTGAAATGCCTGTATCCCTTTATATGTATTCTTCAGAATACCTCTGTAGAGTGAGATTCATCCACTGTCCTGCCCAAGAGGCTGAATGTAATTACACAGGAGCTATGGTTCTGCAAGTTCTGGTGTTCAAACTAGAAAATGTCAGGACTGAGTTTTTTCATATACAGTTGCTGCAAGTGGTTCCAGTTCACAGAAGACTGTGCAGACTGTCTGCAGCAGGAGTCAAAAGCACAGGACAAAATGCAGTTCACTGTTCATAATTCAGCTGAATAAGCCTCTGCAAAAACTTCCACCAAAGAATTTTCCAATAACATCATCATGTAGTACCAGGTAATGTAAAATTTCTATGTACAAATTGCACAGAATAAATTGAATCTAAAAAGAGGCAGTTGTGGCACATCAAAGAGAAAAACCAAACCTCTGACAGCACTAATGCCCAAGCTAACTTGTAAGGCCATAAAAAGGGCTTTAGGATCTTGCACATCTGTAAAGGAAAATATTATTCTGGAAATTAGTGATCAAGATAATTGAAAGAGTTACAAATTTTTAATTCACATTTGAAATTGCAACTACTTCAAAGGCAGCACTCAGAAACCACTTAAGAAGCTTTATTCATTATCTTACTACTGTAAATCTTCTGACAAGTATGGAAGAGAATTTAGAAGCTATTTGATACTGAATGGAAGTTCCAGGCAGTTGGGTGGCTTGAATCAATCACCCCCAACTGTAGAAATGCTCGGTTCACATCACATGAAACTGAATCACACAGATATTCACACCTTTTTATTTTATATTCAGCAGCCCAGCACATATCCCTCCTCTAGTCTTATATCAAGAACTGCCAATGCTTTAAGATGAGCCTTACACATTATTGTGACATTAACTTGCTGACAACCACAGAATCCTTATGCTTTTCAGACTTTTTACTGTTACCCTAGGGAACTAAAATTGTTTTCACATACACTGGTTTTAAAATGCAGAGAGGAAATACAAATAGCCAGTGATCATTCCTGTAAGGCACAAACAGAGCTCAGCTCCTTTCCACAGCACAGCATTTCTGAGTTTTTAATTACACAGCAGTGCTAAGTCACAGCCATCATGCGTGGAACATGTGCTGATGCTGGGCACGACAACACCATTTCATCCCATCTCAGTCAACAAAAAACCCACTGTACTTGTGCAATCTTATGACAAGCATATGCCTAGAATAATAGCACTCACTCTGCAGCTACCACTCAGTTCCTATTAGAGGATTATAACTTGTTATTTATGAGCATTAATGTCATCTAGACACAGTTTTTAAATCTCTCTCAGGAAGTGTTAAAAATGCTAAAAACGTTGCCGTGGTAGCAGACATATTATATTTAGTAAATGAACTCTGAAGTGTTTTGTTGCATTATTTAAGCATTCCCCTATATTTATAATACTCAATTTTGTTTTTGAAGGAAACCATCAGCATCCAGAGTACAGATAACAGCAGGAAAACAAGGAACTCGCACTCAATTGAGGATCCTTAAGGAAGTTGTGAGTGTTGACAGCCAGTTAAGGTGTTGTTATGAGCACTTCTTTTGAATGTGGAAAGCAGAGCATTAGTAACAGTATGAAGTTTCTTATTTCTTTTGTCTGAGCTCCAGAGTTTCATATGCTAAAATAACTTCTAAATTAAAAAATACACATTGTATACAAATTAATAAAAATACAGCTCTAACTTACATTTATAAAGTATCTGCTTTTGTTCCTTAAACAGTAACAATACAACATATTTTGTTCAGAATTATTTTATTTGGATTATAGCAATTAGTTATCACTGTTCAGTAGGCCAAATCCAGGCAGAGAGCACAGAATCAACTGCACAAGGCAACAACACTGACTAGTATTTTAGCATACAAACCATTTCACTGCATTATCAAGTTGAAATATCTTTCAACCATGCATAAAAAAATCTATGGTTAAGTCTTTCAGAACTCCAGGTAATACCAGATTCCTAAATATACAAAAAATACATTTAACTTATAATAATCTTAGTGAATCACTTATAAAATTACAATTTTATTCTTCACAACATAGAAAAAAATACAAAAATGACTATATATAGTTTTCACCCAAGTCTCACTGATATATACATCAAAATATATGATTTGATGTATACTCATGAAAATTTTAAGCTGAAAGATAAGTTTTAAAATGACACTGCAGATTGGTCCACACAAATGCCAACCTTCATAATGGTAAGAAAAAAACCCTCTGATAAAACCATCACATTGTGAAAAAAAATGCAATTTACCTGCACCGTAACCTGCATTCTTACTGTAATTTACAAATATGATAATTTCTACGATTCCAGTTGTAAACTACCCACTGGTGAAAACCATGGTCTTTTGGAGGGTAGTGACTAACTCAGAGCTGGCATGGTAGAACAAAAAGTGCTGTCAACTGAACCAGTGCACACAACAGAGAGCACCAAAGCAGGGGGGGCCTGCTGGTTTGGAAAGGCTGATGGAGAACATGCAAGCCAAGTAAACAGTCTGTGGGGAAAATAAACCCCTCTGCATTTGTGACACAGTATATATCAAAGCTTCTATTACAGAGTTCACAGAAACCACTTGACAATTTCAGTGACAGGTGAGGGGAAACCTCTTTAATGAGAAGAAACCTCACATGTGTCAGCAAAATCAGTATTAGGGAACAACCCAAACAGTTTTAGGGCATCACACTATGGTTCTCTCTCAAGATCCCCTTCCAGTGATTTCCATAGAAGATAAACTTGGAAAAGCACTACAACATGAAGCACTGAATTTTTGTACATAGTAAGTGCATGTTCAGACTTCAGAATATAATTTATAAATCAGCTTTGCTGGTAAGAATTCTTACTGTGAAAGCAGCTTCTTTGTCTTCTGAAAGGAAAAGTAACTCAATTTTCTTTTAAAAGGCCATAGTTTATTTGCATTTTTGTCATAAATTGATACTTTCAATTAAAGCAAATATTCCATCATAAAGTCTGTTCAGCAAAGGTGTTGGTTGTAGAAGCTTTCTCCCTACTGGCAGCTTGCTCTGCTTTTCCGTGGTGCCAGTGCTATCTGTTGTAGATCTGTACTGTATCTTTCTCATCAACAGAGCCAGGAGTATTACAGAGCCATTTTTTATCTCCAAATTGGACCAACAAATTTGAAACCAAATCTTTTACTTGGGCACAGAAATCAAATTAAGAAAAGTTCAGCAGCTGAGCATTCACAATATCCAGTAACCTAAGTACATCAGGAAATCAGATCTTTTAGATTACATCCTTGAGAAATATTGACATTAACTTCTTTAACAGCAAGTATAAGCAAAAGGAGATGTTTTGTTCAGAGGTGGAAGCTCACACTTTCAAACAATGAGTTCAGAATAATGTAACATTTCTCAGATCACTAAAACAAAGCACAAAACCTAATACAGAAAGGAACTGAATTGTTGCATCTTTGAATCCAAAATCATTCTGAGGTTGTATATGGCCACAGTAATAGAATCACAGAATTGTTTGGGTTGGGAAAGACCCAGCCATTATCCTAACACTGCAAAATCCCAGTAAACCATGTCTTTAAGCACCACATCTTCAGGTATTTTAAATATCTTCAAGGATGGTGACTCTATCCCTTCCCTGGACAGCTTCTTCAGATGCTTGACAATCCTTTCCATGAAGAAATTTTTCCTAATATCCCATTTAGACCTTCCTTGCCACAATAAGAGGCAGTATCCTCTAGTCCTATTGCTTGTAATTTGGGAGAAAAGACCAATACCCAACTTGCTACAACCTCCTGTGATTTTTTAAGTCAGTCAATAATTGGCTCCAAAATGTTGAAAATAGAAGCAAAGAATATTATTGTCTCTTATCCTTTCTCTGCTTGTAATAATCCTGTTTGTGTTGAACAGGAAAGGCTCTATATAGTGAAAGTTAGGAAAATTCAGTCTTTTTGATGGAGCCAAAAAAAAATTACTGAAAAATTCCAAGTAGTTTTTTTTTAGTATCACTCTGACAAGCATAAATCTGAATAACTGTAAATCCAGCTCTTCCCAACTCCTAGAACAGAGAGCTGTGTCCTCAGTACCTCCCAGCTGTGTTTAGGAAGAGCTGGGATGTGTCAAACACAACTGGGCCATGTCCAGGGGAGGTGCTGGCAGGCACAGCAGCAGGCAGCATGGGAGTGGTCACACCTCATCTGTGCACTAAACCATGGAACAAGAGGGAAGCCAGAAAAGCCCGCATGGTCTTGTCTATTGACTCTGACTGGATGCAGACAGGGCTATTTGGCCATCAATTCCTAACAGAGCAAAGCTGTAATCTATATTTCCTTCTGTCTCTGCTTGGATATCCATTAATTTCCCTTCCTCTTTTATTCCTTTCATACCCCACCCTGTTACTCCAATCAGAAGTTTCTTCTAGACCTGGGGCACAGCTCACACAGCACTAGTGCTTTCTCAGCTCTTCCATTTTCCTTTTACCTTCCCAAGGAAAGGTTAAGCCTGAGAACCCAGAAATAGCACCTAGGAGAATGTAATTTCTTGTGGTCTTCCACTCTTTCCAAAGAACAGATAAGGATGACTTGTCCAGTCTGCAAAGGCAGCATGCAACACATGAGATAATCTGTTCTGCAAGGAGCAGATTATGACTTTGCAACACTTCAGAAGCTGAGTGCCTGGAACTGCCTGCTTGGATGTGTCAGAGTGATGACCTCAGTCACTTGAGGAAAGTCAGACTAAGGAACAAGGTCCCCAAACACAGCAGACCAAGTATTCCTCAGCACTGAAAGATGAGTATCACAGACAATGACTAGAGATGATAATTTATAGTGAAAAAGGGAGAACTGCTCCTATTTCTGGGTGAACTATCTCCTTATATTGTTTAGATTCAATACTGATACAACTACAGTATTACAGTTAGTATTGATTTTTTTTTAATATGTAAAAAAGTATTCAGGGATGCAGTACTTGGGGCAGTTTTAATGTTTCAGATAAGAATTACAGCCTCTGAATTAATATTAGCATTTGAGTGATCAGAAGATCTTAAACAAGATCTTCAGAGAGCACACTCTGGTCAGACACTGCACTGTTTAAATTCCTAAAAAAACACATTCCCCTAATTTTCCGTAATTAGTTTCTTGTTCTTGCTTCCATCACCTTTTAAATACACAACGTATCTTTCTAAATTCAAATACTTTGCCCAGATTACATGCTCCACTGATGTCTCTGACATTATCCTGAAGTATTCCAGAGCATATTGTTCGCTTTCACAGCAATACATACAGTTTCTGGCATGCAGTCAAGCACTTACAAAAAAGAGGTATCTGTAATATAATCCCAATTCAGGCATTTTGTGGGTACAACTTCATCACTCATACTGCAACCTTCTGACATTTAGTAATAAATGAAAACCATTTAGCACATCATTTAAGGAAAAGGTTAACTGCCAAGCCATATAAAGTTTAATTTTTCTGAAGCACTGCAAGCTGAAAATTATTTCAATGTTTGACATCCTGGAATTTCACTGAAATCAGATTTATTAGTTATTCTTGCTAAATTGTTGGTCTTTTACCTCTGACTTATCTTGGTATCCTCTTTACAAATGTGCTGGGTATTGAAAAACTGCAGCATTTTTGATGTTTGAAAAGTTCTGAAAAAGAGTTGGAATTACTCCGACTTCTTATGCTCTTCAGTGTGGGAGAGAACCTTTCGCCTCTGATGCAGCATGTGGAAATAGAGCTGAGGGAAGACTAAGGAGAAAACAGACTCGAGTCAATCAAGTGTGCAGAGGAGCCTGCAAGATGCAGTCACATGGTCAAAGTCCCCCAGTCTCCATTAGAGGATGTGCTTATCCACATTTTGCTTAAGTTATCTATTGCCTTTTACACACTAAAGAGATGAACTGATTTTGTTCTTAGTTTTCAGGTACTATTAATTTTTCTGCTAGAGCAATCGCATTTTTAATTAAATGCAAAATGCCTTATTTAACTCTTAAATGTGGAAGCAGATGACAAAAGTTGCCATATCTGCATGCACACAATACAGAGAAAACAGACTGCAGGGCAGAAAAAGCCCTTCAAGAGAAATTTCCAGATTTGTTTGATTTTTATGTAATTTTAGTGTCACTTTTTCAGACTCTAAGGCATTTTATTCACATCAGTGCCTCTTTCATCTCTCTCTATCCAAAGCTTTTTCTCTTTCTATTTCTAAAACTATGGTACACAGTATGTTTGCAAAACAACAAAGGAGGGGGTGGAAAACATACATATACAAACAGCAGAAGCTGATATTTCCATGAGAAACCTTTATCAACCATGCAAAAATTAAGCAAGGTCATCAGCAGGCTAGATTGGTTACTTCTATGTATGTAAATCCCACAACTGTTTGCTTTTCCAGGTACAGCTGTTAATACTAAGAAACCTAACAAACTCATACTTACTTGGAATGTAAGAGATCATGACCAGGATCAGGAATGTATAGTAGTCAAATGAAAAATTGTATTTGTTAGGTAAACTAATGGAATACAAGCCAGACTGCCTGACGTAGGGTAATGCAGCATATATTGTGAGTAATTCACCTGAGACTCCCATTGGATACAATACTATAAACAAAGTGTACCTGGAATGAAACACAGAAAGAATTAAAAGTTATGACAAACTCTGACAAAATATTTGTTAAATGATATTACAGACATTCATCTTTTCAATTCTCCACTCAGCACTCATTTTTTTTAAATCTTATTTGATTAGAACATGGCAAGGTATGAACACTATTGCAAGGTAAGTACTCAAATCAGCAATCGTCTGGAAATATTTAAAGATTTTATCTGAGAATTTACAAATTATCTTTAAAACTATTCTCCACACATACAGACTTAATTTGATTTCTGAACTCTTTGGTAGGAGTCATTTTGCTACTTAAAACGGGGCCAAATATAGTTGGTATTAATCAATGAGCTTAAATATTATTTCAAGGACAACCAGTGGATTCAAGAATTACTGCCAAATGTCAGTTTACTTACTGTCATCCCCTACTGTTAAATATCAGTTTCTGACAAACCATAACTTTGAAAATGGAACCTAGTTCAGACAAATGATTCTTTCAGCTTGCAATGCAATAGATTTTTGTAACCTGAAAATCTGCTGGAAAGAAGGTAGGCAGTCATGTTCGCAAACAGGGCAATTACCTGAAGGCAGAATCTAATTTTTTGCAATGCAACTACTTTACAAGATAAATATCCCTGTTAGATCAGTGCTTTAAGGCTGTAATTTTTATGATGCTACCGACCTGGCCCATTTGATGAGATAAGGGAGATGGTTTAACAAGCTAAACGTGTAAAAAGAGTAACGGATTATCTCGGTGATTGTCCAGGCCACTACAAACAAGAGGACACTGTCTTCACTTTGTACCTGTGAGAATGGAAAAAAGGCTTTGCATGAGCATTACCAGTTACTCACCAGACCCAAGAAAACCTCACAAAAAACAAGTCCTGTGGGTTACTTTACTGCATCATTTTAGACAACAGACTCCAAGAACGAGCTTAAAAGCAACATTAGTAACAACAGTAAAAAACCCTTCTTATCGTGCTCTTATTTTTCTAGTTGCTTAAGAATAGCTCTGCTTCCTGATTGGGTAACTTCAGCTGTCATATTCTGTGCAAGGTAAATTGGTACAAGAAACCCCTGAAATGCTGAGTATAATTCTTAACTCTTCCCATTCCTATAGAGTACCAGCTTCTATTTCTGTCCTATGATTGTCTCCTAGTGTAGAAAGAATGGCCTAACACTTGATACTTGGTTTAGATTTAATATTCTGATACTATTTCATGGTACTTCTGAGCAGAAGCACTGTTTTCCTTTCTCTGGTCAGAAACTGGGTCCTACTTTTGAGCAGCAGCAGGACAGCTAATACCAGATCTCAGGCTGGGAGGAGAGAAGAACCATGCTCAGATTGTCTCACCTCAGGTAAGCTTGATGGACCTGATTCACTGTTCCTTGCTCCATTTTCTGCTTATTGTAACTAGCATGGTTCCTCTAATGTTACACTCAAGGCAGTTATCATGTTTCACTGCTTTACACCTCTTGGAGCTTTTATATCACTCACACATCAGTGAAGCAGCTTTAACTCCCTCCACAATTTAACCTTGAGATCAGTTCAGCTGGTCTGAGCATGGTGCTAATAATGCCAAGGTGGGTTTGATCCCTGGATGGGATCATTTAGGAGCTGGACTCAGTGATCCTTGTGGGTCTCTTTAAGCTCAAAACATTCTGCAATAAACTGCTTTTACCTGTGATATTTATAAGATCACTCCTCAAAAGCATATACTTTAAAATGAAGAGTTATATTTATTAGATTATGGAGCACCATTATGAGGTTCAAGTTCCCAAAGGATCTCAAGTGTATGTGGAGTCACATACCTGCAGTACAAACTCTTGAGGAAGCAGGCATGATTTTAATTCAGACTTCTCCCTCTCTCCCCTATTCAACAGAATTCCCAGCTGTATGAGCACCTTGAGCCCAAATTCAAGGTGGACAGTGGGAACAAAAATAGCTCAAGCACAGGGGCCCATATTTTCTCTTTTCCTCTAATTCTTGAATAAAGGGAAAAGGAAGTCAGAGATATGAGTGGTGCACTCTGTTAATCTTGGACAAAGTACAAACCAACAGGAAAAAAAAAATCAAGAATATATATANAACATTCTGCAATAAACTGCTTTTACCTGTGATATTTATAAGATCACTCCTCAAAAGCATATACTTTAAAATGAAGAGTTATATTTATTAGATTACGGAGCATCATTATGAGGTTCAAGTTCCCAAAGGATCTCAAGTGTATGTGGAGTCACATACCTGCAGTACAAACTCCTGAGGGAGCAGGCATGATTTTAATTCAGACTTCTCCCTCTCTCCCTCCCTCCCCTATTCAACAGAATTCCCAGCTGTATGAGCACCTTGAGCCCAAATTCAAGGTGGACAGTGGGAACAAAAATACCTCAAGCACAGGGGCCCATATTTTCTCTTTTCCTCTAATTCTTGAATAAAGGGAAAAGGAAGTCAGAGATGTGAGTGGTGCACTCTGTTAATCTTGGACAAAGTACAAACCAACAGGAAAAAAAAAATCAAGAATATATATATATATATATATATATATATATATACACACACAATCAGGAACTTCTTAATAGGAGGGGAATTATCATATACTTTGAGTAAAAAAACATAATTTTTTCCTAAAGGAATTACCCAGAAAAAGCTGTGTTACAGACTGCAAAATCCAGAAAAATTTATACAAAAATCTTGAGCTATCCTGGAATGTAGAGCTGCTGGTAATCTGTATTGTGCTGTAAATCTATGTTCTGCAGCATGTAACATTTCAGGTCACTTTAACTGCATTTTGCAGCAAAAGCGCCTCATTCTTTTCCCACATTCAGATAATTTATTTATATATTAATCTCCCTTACATCATCATAAAAGAGCAAAATCCAAAAATTACTTAAGATTTTCAGAGAAGAGACCAAATCTATTTTTACACATTGCTGCAGGATCCTAATCCTGTTTGAGGTCTGCTTTATAAGGAAGACTTAGCTCTCAACACAGAAAAGTGAATAACACTTCCCAGATGCTGCTGCTCCAAAGGAGGAATGTGCTTGCAAGCACTCCAGAGCTGCATCTTCTGGCCACATCGGGAGTAGCAGCTTAGTGATGAGTTCACCTAAACCTGTGACTCGCCTCAACCTGTGCTTTAAATCCCACTTCTTTCCCTAGCTATGGAAATGGGTAAAGTCAAAATCCAGAAGTTTACAGCTTGAAGCAGCATCCAAGGATGAACACAAGGACAAGAAACTGGGGTGCTAACAGTGAATCATACACATGAAAGTAGAAAATTACAGCAGTAACAGTTCTGTTCTACCACATGACATTTCTGACACTGCCTTCAAAGTCTGGTCTCCCCCCTCTCCTTTGTATTAGAAGTTATTAAAACAGTTCACACCATTATGAAACACACAACCCTGTTAGGTCACTTAAAGAATCATCGATTGTGCCTTCATAACTTGTGCCCCTATCTAAGGAAAAACAGTTTTTCAGGAGTCTTACTCTTTTAGCCACTGCTAATGCTACATTTGCATAATTCCTCTTCCAGGTTGAAGATAGGGCTAATACCAGTAGACCTTTAATAAACCACTAAGGCTAATGCTCTCTGAGAATTCAATTCTTCTTCCACTACTTTTTTCATGCCATTCTTTCAAGGAGCCTTAGACACAAGTCAAAACTTTATTTACACCTTATTTATCCAACTCTCTTAATAGGGATCAATTAAACAACAGGCATAATTTTTTGGCATGTGTTTTAAGCCAACATAACATCAAGGAAGATCCTGAATATATTTCAGCTTTTCTTAAATACTGTGAATAGCAGATGATGTTTGCTAAAATATAAAAGAGACCACTGTCTTTTAAGATGCAGAGATGAGAGCTGGGAGTTGACAAAATAAAGCCTGAGAGGTTTTTAATGTTCTCCTTAAGATTGGAAAGGGAAATTTCTCTACATTAAGAGTAACAGTTTGACAAATTTGCAGAAAATTTCAGCTAAACACATAATTAAGCAATCCAATGCAGAAGAGCAAAACCAGCAGTACTATGCAAGTGTAATGATGGAAAATATTGGAACAGCACGTCTCTCTCCAAAGAGCTGGTTCTCTGGTGCAGTAATTAAAAAACAAAACATAAAATTCAGGGAAAAAAAAAAAGAAAACATTACAGTAGGCACAAAGAGCATGACAGACTATTGTGTTGTATAGTATTGCTCTAATTTTACATGGATGTAAAGCAATGATGAGTCACGTTTTTCAATTGTATTCAGCCATTCAGAGTTCTGACCCTTCCAGCATGGACTTTTTACTACAACTTTGTCCTAAATACTGTAAGTTAAGATGTTCTTCTCTCTTTTAAGTCAGTATACTTTATTACTGATTGAAGGTATCAATTCCCAACTGCAGATACTAGAGTCCCAATTACCAACTCTATGTGCTGTAAATGTTGTTTGCACAGTATCGCTTGCCTGTGTGCACTACAAAAGTTCTTCTAAATATATATTACATTTATTTGCAACTCATCTCTAACTGAGCCCAATGGGATAAGCAATAAACTGCCTGCTGACAAATTTTTAAATTACCCATCAAAACTGGGTGCAGAATTATCTATCAGAATGGAACTCCATGAAGGCCTGCCACGATGTCACCAGAAGATCTCACTGCTCACTCAAATTCAAAAAGACATCTTTTGAGCTGAAGGGCACTTTTTGTTCTCCTATGCCTACATCCTCCCAGCCCTTCACACAAAGCTGTTCATCCCCCTCCTTTGCAGGGGAAACAGTAAAATTCACTGAACTGGTTCCTTTCTCATGTAATGGCCAGCAGTGATGACATGCCAGGCCCTCCTCCGCAACACCAACAACTGTTCCTACAGGACAGGTGAGGAGAATCTCAGTGTGCAGTGCTTTAACATTTGCCATGCTTTAACATTTATTGTGAATAACTTCATATGGAGTTTAACAACACATCAGCACTGAAGTCCACAAAAAGCACAAACAGGTTAGTGGCAAGAAGCATGCTTCAAATCACATCACATTTCTAGAAGTGTATCCTGACGGAAGGAGGGATGCAATACACATTTCTTCTTTTAGCTGTATTATATACAAAAACAGTCTGGGAAAGCAAGATACTGAACAAGTATTATTCAAAAAGTTAAAGAGGAAAATTGCATTTTATTTTACAAGAACCTCATCATGCAGCTGCATTGCTTACAAGTTCCATAAAGCTGTGTGACAATTTAATCCTGGCCTTCACCATGGAGCTCACTTGTGCAGACAGCCCTTTAGAGAAAGTAGAACATTTGTGACACCTGCAATACATGGCCCCAGGTGAGCCTGCAGGCTCCCTGGCTGGGGCAAGGGGAAGGGTAAGAATACAGCCTCTTATTTGATTTATTTGCTCTAAGTCACAGGTCAGAAACTCATCACAGGATTCCTCATCCAAGCCATTCGTAAACCCACTTTCTAAGACATTAAAGAAGTAACACATAATACAGTCTCTTGCAAGACTTTAACCAGAAGACCACACAAGTGTGGGGAAAAAAATCTGCATGGAATATTCTTGAAAAAATCCTTGTTAAAAGTCAGATATCAAATATCTGGCTATACTCACTGCTGCCATTTTGTCGGTTTTCTCTGGTGAGAATGTGGGCATAAGCTTCAAAAAAACCTAACCCACAATCATATTACAGGTTTTTCTTTGATGTCTAACAGACAACACATGAAATAATTCTAATCCTTTCAATCTAACTTTTAATATTTGGGTTACTTCAAAACCGGGAGACAATTCATATAAACATATTATCACTGTTTTTTTATGAAGCACCAGATAACCCAATATCATATAGATAACAAGCACAACTCCAGGAGTATTTATTTTAATGTATTTTATGCATATATATAAAAAAAATCTAACGTCTTGAGATTATGGCTTTTTTTTTTGTTCAAAACCTAGTACTTATCTCTGATGAATTAATAGAGACCAGAGTACATTAATTTGCACCAATGGAAGTCCATTAGAAAATAGGTTTTATGTTTATTGAGAAAAATAACATTCCTCCACTTCTAAGCAGCATGAAACTAAAGCTTCACAATACCAGAAAGGACTGTTAATTACTAGGAACTACAGTGACTTATGTTACTCTACATGTGCATGGATGGTCTGATAGCAGGTTTGGAGGAAGGGACAGAAAGCAGCTTCCCTCAAGACTTTGTAAAAAGACAAGTTCCTTAAGACATTCTCCATGTCAAGTCACAAATAATCTTATGCATAAAGTGACTGTCACTTATTTCAGGCACCCATGCTGACACTGGTATTGAGACTAATTTTTTTTCTTTAATAAGAAGAAAACCCGTAAGATTAGTTGGCTAAAGTTACAGCAGAAATGGAGGATATCTGGGCTACTACAAGGATTCAAATGACACGAGTCAATCACCAGTACCAATGGTCAGCAACCTGTACCAATTAAAGCATGTCTAGATTTTGAAACAGCTATCAAGAATAATCTTTAAAAAACACAGCTTCCAAAAGATTCTAAAGAGATCTGCAAGAAGTACAGCACTATTTGGTGTGGTGAGCAGTGAGAAAAAACACTCAACCCCCAAACATTACCTACATTTGAATATAAGAAAATTGAATGAAGGACAGAAGAAAGATTATCCTGGAAAGTGACCATGGAGAGCACAGAGGCAGTGCTGTGCACAAACAATTGAGGGGGGAGTTTCAGATGCCACAGGAAGTGAACTGCATATGCAGGAGGGCAATGAGATTTTGCTTTTAATTATGGCACTAGTGAGATTAACACTAGAAGGCTGTACCAAATTCTGTGTTCTGTGTTACACACTGTAAGCTGTTTAACTGTCAGTAAGGACTGAGAAACTATCCAGGAGCTATATGTCCTACAGGGACAGAATCAGACCTTGCTCTGTTTGACTGTCAAATCAGATCTATTTTTATTTCTTTTGATCCACAGAAATTCATATGAACAATTTCCCATGGTGGGATACAAACAGAAGACATTTTAAGGACAATAAGACAGCAATCAACACTCGCTTTTCAGCATGGATCAACAGTTTTTCTATCAATTTGTATCTTGACTTACCTCTTTTACACTATGTGTTACTGCCCACGTCAGGAAAACCCTTGACATCACTTGGAAAGCAGTCAGAACAACAGAAGAGGGAACAATGCCTGAAAGGTATTTTGCAATTAGTAAATATTCCTGATTACCAGGGTGGGAGGTAGGGGTGGGGAAACAAAACACAGCTAAACCAAAGTCCAGTTGTTTAAAATTTCTGGAAGGAAAGCATTTAATTAGTTTTAATTCAAAAATATGAAGTCAGTCCTTTAGTGTGTTTATACTGCATAATGCAGTGCAATCCCCTTACAAGGCTTTCTGCATCAAAATGCAAACAAATGTAATTGATCCTGTTGCAATTACAGCACATTCCTCAATACAGAGAACAGCTCAATCAGATACTTTCAATCAAACAGCTTCTGGGATGTAGTCTTTCAAATAAGTCCCATTTGATTAAAATATCCAAGATACTCTTCATTACTGTGATTTAAGAAGTAAGGATAATAAATATGTTTTGCACTATATATCCCAAAAAAAAAAGCTATCAAAAATAATAAGTATTTTTCGGAAACACTGATCTAGCCCATATTTTGATAGATGGAAATTTTGTAGTTCCTTCCTGGAAATACAGCTCAGAAAAAAAAATCCAAACCAGCCAATCAACCAAAAAAACCAACCCCACAACAAACCCCAGGGAACAGCTGATGCACAGGCAGGTACAGAATCAACTTGAAGATTTTCTCAAGGAAGCAGATATCACTGTTCTTCCAACAAGTTCTGAGGTGCCAACTGACCTGTCAGTAGAAAGACCCTACACACAGCCAGGTCTGCCAAAACAGGAACGGCTTTAGACTGCAAGATTACACAAAATTTCTAAACTTTGCAACCCAAAGCTTTATTTTCCTCTAACAGCTAAATGATAAAGAGCAGGTGTAGCTCTTAAGATACAGTGAAAAGTGCTTGTAAAGATGTAGAGAACAGAGGAAAATTAAATGGGAAAAAAGAGTAAGAAAAGTCAAAAGCAAGTTTCAGTCGAATTATTTTCAATGATATGTTTTGGCTTCTTTGAGAGGAAAAAGGAAAATCCTACAGACATAGTACTCTTCAGTTTTATCACATTGTCTTGGTCTCTGGGCTACATCTTATCTCCTTTCCAGGTAGAGCTCTCCATTTTTTAAATATCTGCCATATGTCAAAAGTCCTGTTCTCCACCATGCTTCACAGAGACACTTCCCTACCAGTCTTTGTATTTTGAAGGACTTGCCTCACAGATGCTAACATTACAGATTCTACTGAAAAGATGTGGAGAGAAAAGTTATGCTGATACACACAGCCATCTGTCACACATAAGCTCTTCTATTGACAGAGAATTACAGCTCTAGTTAGAGCAATTAGTTCAGCAGGGGCAAAGGAATCTGCAAATTTCCTGTTTCTCCCTGTATATAAACTTTTGCTACAGTCAGTAGGACTGCACCAGACAGCGACAGTGCATCCAGCTGTGCAAAACCCCCTCACTTTATTTAGCTGACAAACACTTCCATTAACAGAAAAAAAATATAATCCGCAGCCAGTTATAAGAAAACCAAAACCAATCTTTTGCAAAAGAGCTTTGTTAGGGAAAGCAAAAAGGCAGAATAAAAACAGCATAAAATGTTGCCACTTTCCCCTAATGGCTCTCTCTAATATTAAACTGTGCTACTAAGGATAACTTGGGCTAAATGGATCCACACCTCAAATCAACTGAGCCAGATGATTCGTTTTGCACACAGGCAGGATGCGTAATCATCTTATTTGCTGTTCTGCATCAGCCTGGAAGGTGAAACACAGGATCTCTCCTGCTACTCACTGATTTGATGGACATAAACATCCAAGTGTGAGGAAATGATAATCCAAGTACATTTTTTACATTCTTAGATTTAGTACCAGTAAGCACCGATGTCTAAACACCAGTTTAGGTTCAGAAAATAGCAGAGCATTATGGATTTAGGATGGTAAAATCAGCATTTTATCTGCAAAGTTTTCTCTCCAGTGTTCCAAGATTTAACTTTGCCTTCTTGTCACTTGTTAAGTAAGATCTTAAAAATGGCACACTTTCATATTAATGTTGACAAGTTTTTTTTAAAAAATATGATTTATTCTGGTAGAAAAATAGTAATTAAAATTTAGTAAAATTAAACAGCATTGGAAGGACTGTCTTGGCAGCACAGGCAAATAGATGATACACAGTTTAGTAGTAAGGTGTATATGACCATTCATTTCTTGAGGTGATCTGTGCACAGTTTATGAACAGCCTTCTTAAGACATTTTCAGAGCAGCTGGAGGATTCAGGAGGGTCAGAACTACTTCATCAACGACAGAACCAGACTGCCCTCTGCTGACATTCCTAGCACCAGTTCTCCCAACACCTCACTTGGTTATTAAAACATCCCACAGAACTCACTATGAGCCTACAGTCCAATGACCTCTCCATTATGTGGCTGTCTGGACAATGATGAAAAACAGCAAGTTTGTAGTTGCAGCTTTAGGAACCTCAACACCATCTTGCTCTGTAAGTAGTGGCTAGTGAACACTCAGGAGCTGAAGCACTGTTTTATTGTTTTGTGACATCTCAAATTAGGGAGTAAAAGTCTGGAATGTATTTCAAACAAAAATTAGTAAGTTATGCAAGAATTAAATTCAGCAATTCACAGACTAACATTTTTCTTGCTAATATATTGCTTAAAGTTCAGTTTTCTACAAAAACAGTAAACAGAAAATTTGCAAGCTTACCAAGTGCACAGTGCAGAATCTAGAACAAAAAGAAAAATTCAAATCACTAACTTTTCAAATTAAGCAATTCAGACACACATTTAGTTCTGTTACAAGTGCTTATGATTTAGTATTTGCATTTCAATGATTAAGATTAATATTTAGCTCTGCTGCCCAAGCTAATTGGCAGACAGTAAAACTCATCTTGCTAAAAGGAAAACTCAGCTTTTGCGTGAGCTGTTCAGTAGAATTAAAGTAAATGTAAGAAATATAACACATTCATGCAAGTATTAGTAAGGCTAGGGAATAGGACTACACCCACCTCAAGCAAAGCTCCAGTTTGGAAGAATTTCAGGGGCTTTTCTATTGAATAGTAAAGGCTGTGGTAGCTGCCTTTAGCCAGATATGCCCGAACTAGACCAACTGCAATAACAAGCCACCTGAAAAAGAGAAAAAAAGGAGACATTAAGCAAAGCAGAAATAAAAATAAACCTTTAATCCTTCTTTTGATACTTGATAAAGCAACAGACAGAACTGTCCTGAAATACACTGACTCTGCAACACTGGAAATGTTAAATACTTGCATCTTCTACAAATTTATCCAAGACATGATGCATTTTTAAAGTATTTTTCAGCACTGACATGGTACCAATATCTCTAATGTCTCAATTTATTTTTAAGCGAGCTCTGTTTAATTAGTTATGGAATTTATCCATGGCAGATTGGCATCATATTTTGCTTAGTTCAAGCAGAAAACCCCTGACAGCTAGTCAGAGACTTATTACCAAGTTAGAGCAGTATGACATAAACAAGATTCAGAAGGCATTGATTTTAACATTTCAGTTCAAAGTAAACCCCTAGACATTATCAGAGGTCATCCAGCTTAGTTGGTAGCATATATTACATGAGAAATAGTTATAAATAAATAATTTCAACAAAACTGAGCCTGCTACAGCCTTGAAGGCAGCATGGCCATTCCCATCCCAGTTTTCCTTTTCAACCAATAAATACATCTGAGCCTATGTAAGTAGTGCCCATATAACTGCAACTGTATGTGGACAATGTGACCTGTTAACCCTGCTGATTTTTCCTTCAGGTAATTTAAACAAACCTGAAAATCTTTCATCCTGGCTGATGAAGTTTTCACTATCACAGCTGTCCAGAGCTGGTGCTTGCCCACGGCATGAGAAATTCTTCAATCACGTTTATGCCAAGCCACAAACCCAAGGTGAGTGGTCAACCCTGGTCAAACACTTTCCATTTAAAATAGCATCTACAGTTAATTGTAGTTTCCAATTGCTTTTGGCAAACATGGGGTGAAGGGGTTGGTTGGTCAAGAAGAATCCTTAACAGGGTCTCCCAAACCTTTCACTGACAGTCTCATCCTGGCTGTCTTACACTCAACTACTCTGAATGCCACCCAATTTTACCTCTGTCTCACTCCAAATTCCTTGTGTAAATCAACAAGTGTCTCTGCTAATTCATCTCAATGTGTAGACATGTAGCAAGACCACTAACTACACAATACTTGTCATCCTTTGGAAAAAAGCGTGTAGCTGTGGTTTTGTAACAGAGACGATGAAGAAATTCCCTTTATTTACATCATATTATAATCTTACAAGTAACGCATTAGCTTGGATATTGCAAAGTATGTGCACATATAATCCCAAATGTAATAATTGTTTGAAACACACAGTGAAGTTCAGATTTTTCAATAATAAGTAACTCTGGTATCTAAGTTTGTGTTTGTAACAAAATCTGTTAGCAGAATTGAAAGAAAGCTAATTAATTTCTGTCTTAACTTCTGGAAGACATGCACCAAAGAAAAGCAGGGGGAGTGGGGAAGATAAATGCAAAAAAGAAACAAGACCTCCCTTTTTTCAGAGTGGCAAGTTATTTCAGTTAAAGCCATCTTGTGAAACCAAAGGACAAACATTTGCCAAGTAACCGCTGTTTACAAAGGATAAATCAGATTCATTTTGTATTTGGACTTCAGTGTAGAATAAACCAGTAAGCACTACAGTATTAGTGAATTTGCCCCTGTAACATGAACTGTTTCTTCTTCAGAACAGGGAATCAGAGCAGATTGACACTGTACTCTTCTTATCTGTCAAGTTCCTTGGTTTTTCCTGATCTTCCATGTTTGTTGAGAAACTGCTGAGTTGAGCAATTTCTCCAGTTGCACAAGATGCCAGTTCTTGGCTGTGCCTGCAAACCATTCTCACCTGAACAGAGACTGGTAAATCCACAGCTCCCAGAGGAGCTCCAGCCTTTTGCTCAGTTCCACCCTAGTGCCAGATCACTGACTCCAGCAAGACTGTATTTCCATTCCATTTACTATCCTTCAAAAAGCAT